TAGTTTCCATTTAAAAAAAATCACAATCTTGCTCTTGCTGCGTGCTGTTTTTGGAGGACCCTCCCTGCTTCAGATTTACCAACAGCATGAATCAAGAAAAGTTGGCCAAACTTCAGGTCCAGATAGGGGGCAAGGGCACAGCTTGCAGAAAGAAAGTGGTAGACACAGAACAGCTATAGCTGATGACAAAAAACTTCAGATTTCTCTAAAAAAACTGGCTGTGAATAATATAGCTGGTATTGAAGACGTGAACATGATTAAAGATGATGGGACAGTTATTCATTTCAACAATCCCAAAGTCCAAGCTCCCCTTTCTGCTAACACCTTTGCAACTACTGGTCATGCAGAAGCCAAACCAATCACAGAAATGCTTCCTGGATATTAAGTCAGCTTGGTGCTGACAGCTTAACAAGTCTTAGGAAGTTAGCTGAACCGTTCCCCCGGCAAGTGTTGGATAGCAAAGCACCAAAACCAGAAGACATTGATGAAGAGGATGATGATGATGTTCCATATCTCGTAGAAAATTTTGATGAGGTATCAAAGAATGAAGCTAACTAAAATTTTTTTCTGGAGTTTGGAAGCTGGCATGGACTAGATTTAACAAATCAGCTATGTAGTTCCAAAGCTTTACAGACATGGAGAACATCAACTGTTACTAGTTCAGTAATATAAATATTCTGTTTATTAATAATGCTGTTTGTTCAGCATTTTTCGGTCATTTGATTTTGCATTTTGCACTTCCTCCCAGGATCTATTCTTTTGGTCAAAATACAAAGTATTGGTGCAGTTTGAGGGCGTTTTGGTGTTTCATTCTCAGTTTTTTGTTTTTTTGTTGGGGTATTTTTGGTGTGTGTATGTGTATGTATGTGTGTGGGTATGTGTGTATACAGTGGAGAGCAAATTGGAAAACAGTTCTATTGATCCTCCTTCTACCCCCAGTAGAAAATAAAACAAATCTTTATATTAAAAAAAACAAACAAAAAAACAATTCACATAAAAATCCTGCCACAAGCAACAAGACACTTGTAATTGATCTCATGGCCACAGTGACAGTAAAAGCAGGCATTATCCAATGACTATTAGATGCTGACCAGCCCAAGGCCCAATTTCTAGGCCTAAACCACAATTGTTCCTTGGCACCCACACAACCCTCCCCACATAAATACCCAATCTCTTAAACTCCAGCTGTGAAAAGTTCCAAATTTCTAACATTAACACACCGGCCACTGAAACAGGGTAAAGATCCCAGAGACCATTTTACCGGCTCCCTCTTTCCACCAGGAAAAAAATCCCTAGGAATTGTAATTTGCATCTGCTCTACCTTTAGGCTCTCAAGCAGGTCAACAGATGGGTACCGAAAACAGTGGAAGACGACAGAACAAATTAGAAGAAACTAAAAAGAGAATTAGCATTCACTATTGACATGGGTGCTGTAAATAGTACCAGGCACTTTACACAACTTATTTAATCTGACAATAGTCCCACAAAATAGGCAGTATCCCGATTTTATGATAACACAAATTCTGCAAGATTTAAGTGCCTTGCCCAACGTTAAGGAGCAAAGTCACAGTTCAACCCTAAGGCTGCCTAGCTCCAGAGATCTTTCCTTTAACAACCCCACTGACTTCCCAAAGAATCAAAGCGTACAGCCCTTAAGAAATCTTTCCACAACCATTCCTCCCCTGCTTTCTTCACCTTGGCTACTCTTAAAACTGGCCCACACATCAGCAACCAATAATTTCATTCTGTACCTAACAGCACTGTGTTCTCAAGTTGCTATTGGTATTTTCAACACCAAAACAATCCTCCTTCCCTCCCCCACCTCCAACCATTAACTAGGAATGTTATCTATACCCCAATATTTAACTTTATTTTTATTTTTTTTTTTTTGAAGATTTTATTTATTTGACGGAAACACAGCGAGAGAGGGAACACAAGCAGGGGGAGTGGGAGAGGAAGAAGTAGGCTTCTCACTGAGCAGGGAGCCCGATGCAGGACAACCTGTGCCAAGAGACATTATATATTCTACTCTCATCATATGTCATTTTGAAAAAAATCTGTATCACTCTTATGTCACAGGAGGTTCTTCCTGGAAACTGACGGTCATGGTTGCATTTATAAAGCCTCCTCCTTGCTGAAAGAAATAGCATCTCCCGGGGCGCCTGGGTGGCTCAGTTGGTTAAGCGACTGCCTTCGGCTCAGGCCATGATCTCAGGGTCCTGGGATCGAGTCCCGCATCGGGCTCCCTGCTCAGCGGGAAGCCTGCTTCTCCCTCTCCCTCTCCCCCTGCTTGTGTTCCCTCTCTTGCTGTCTCTCTGTCAAATAAATAAACAAAATCTTTAAAAAAAAAAAAAAAGAAAGAAATAGCATCTCCCTGTTCTATTCCTTTCAAAACTCTTCTGCTAGAAATCAACGCCACGATTTGCCTGTAAGACACTGGTTTTCAATTCTAAGAGATGGTGAATTTACAACAACTAGGCAAGTAAGCTTTGGGAGCTACAGTGTAACTATCTGGGATTAGAATGTTCTAAGAAACAAGTTATATATCTCAGTAATTACCAAGTTTGAATGATTCAAATGCGGACAAACAGCAACTCTAAGATGTCACCATCTTACCTCAGGATGAATCACATATAAAAGCAAGCCTGTGAGGTGGTCCAGAAAGCTTATAAAGCCATGAAACATGGACCTGAAGCAATGCTATAAACATAAAAATGAAGAGATGTAGATCAAGGCAACCAAGTGAAGTAGGAATTGAGGCAAGAGAAATGAAGTAGGGAAAAGCCTGGGACATGTTACACAACCAGTCGGTAACAGTGTTTATGATTATTTAAGAAGGTCCATTGCTATGCACAGTGAATGGCACAAAGAAGTACAGTAAGTACTGTGTAATGAATGAACATATCCCATGAACTACAAAATGGTAACTAAAGAAGAGATTCCACCCTGGGAATTCATTTGCTGGGGGAGAGACTTACCCTGTAGGAATTGTGTCCTTACTCTACGGCAACAGAGGTAATGGGGTTGCTGCACGATAAAATGCACTGGACATTGAACATGGAGTCTGGAAGCCATAAACTAGTTGTGTGACTCTGAGCAAGTCCCTTTAACCTTTCTTTGCCTCAGTTTCCCTATCTATGAAATGGGGATAATACCATCTCAAAGGTGTGGACAACGTTGAGATAACATGCAAAAAGGAATCAAAGCGCATGTAAATGCAACTGCCTGACTGACACCACCACTTCCAGGTCTCAAACTTAATAGGCCCAAGAGGAAATTTCCAATCATCCATCAAAACCCACTCATTTTTCCCATCTCGGTAAATGTAACCATTTCCATACTCGGAACATTCTTGCTTTCTCCACATCCAATCCATCATCCAGTCCCATTCATTCTAACCCCCTGTATATCATTGACTTCTATCTGCACTATCATCACCCTAGTCTAAGCTATAATTATCTCACATGAATGACTGCAGCAGCCAAAATGATCTCTCAGCTTCCACTTTCGCTCTCTCCAATCCAAACAGAACCATCTCCTTAAAAATGTAACTATACAGGGGCACCTGGGTGGCTCAGTCGTTAAGCGTCTGCCTTCGGCTCAGGTCATGGTCCCAGGGTCCTGGGATCCAGCCCCGCATCAGGCTCCCTGCTCGGCAGGAAGCCTGCTTCTCCCTCTCCCACTCCCCCTGCTTGTGTTCCCTCTCTCGCTGTGTCTGTCTCTGTCAAATAAATAAATAAAATCTTTAAAAAAAAAAAGTAACTATACATTCATGTCATTTCCCTACCTCTATAAACCCTTTAAGCTGTCCATTGTTCTTAAGAGAAAGAAGCCAAACTCCTAAACCTGACTTTCAAGGCCCTAAATGATCTGTCCTCTGTCTCCTCCTCAAGCTACTTTAGCCATTCCTGACCTTGTTCCAGCATACTGGCTTTCTAAGCACACACTTTCTTTTCTTTTTTTTAATGTGTCATGCTCTCTTCTGACAAAACTCCTACTCATTCTTTGGGTCTCATTCCAAAATTAGGCCCTTTTATTACACTCTCACAGCATTCCAGGGTACCTACGTATTTATGCAATTATTATACAAAAAGTATACAATCACAAATGGTTATAAACCCAACGAAACTGAGAGCTCCACTAAAGTAGGCACTGTTATACCCAGTTCACCTCAGCATCCTCGGGAAAACCGAATCTAGCACAGTTTGGGCCCAAATATTTGAACAAATCCAACTGAGGTGCAGAGAGGCAGAGTCAACTAAAAATTCTAACTCAAAAAGATAAAGTTCCAACTTACATAGCTGCCCATTTGCTTCAACACTCTCCCCACTTCCACTCTCAAAAGCTCAGACTTTTAAACCATTCGTGGGCTCAAATACCTCAAGGTTTCCAATCTCCCGCAGCCCCTGCTTTCCCCTCCCGTCCCCACAAAATTCCACGTCCACAATGAACCCATGTGAGCACCGAGGCGAGACGTAACGCGCCTCTTTTGCCCTTGCGGGTGACGAAGTCCCGGACCACCAGAAGAAAATTTCGGGCTGGGAGCCTGAACACTAGTCCGCGCGACAGTGACGCACGTCGGCCGGAGCACTTTGTTCGGTATGAAGCCACGAAGCTTGAGGCGTTTCTTTAAGGCTCCTCAGGCGCAATTCAATTGTGTGTCCCGGCCCGATCATCTAGCCGCGCGTCGTAGATTTTCAGAAGCCCATTCCATTCACCAAAGAGGGACGGAAAAGAGACGACCCCCGCGCCTCGCCCTTTAAAAAAACACCCCCACCTAAGGCTGGCGGGTTGCTGAATAAATCCTCGCGAGAGCCACCGGCTTCCGCCCGCTTCCTACACTCCGCTAGCCGGACCGGAAGGAAGGCGGTACTTCCCCGCCCCGGGCCCTACTTCACAAGGCAGCGCGGCCCCAGCTGCGACCAATCAGCGAGCTCATTGTAGGCCGCGGCGCGGACAGCCAATGGCAAGTCGCGGCGCGCGCAGAGCTTCCTGTCTTCCGCACCGGCCCCCTCCCTTCCGCCCGCCGACTTCCACTCAGCCTCTGGCGGAGGAAGTGATGTCACAGGCCCCATGTGAGCGGATTGCAACACATGCAGCTGCCTGGAGAGAGGGAGCCGGTGTCCTACGTCAGAGCCGCCGCCGCGGAGCCGCCGCCGGGGAGGAGCAGCCGCTGCCGCCCAGTACTGGGCCCTTAGGTAAGCCGAGGGAGGAAAAGGCCAGCGACCGCCGCGGCGGGCCGCGCGGGGCGGGAAGAAGAGGGCCTCTTGGGGGTGGCAAGGAAGGGGGCCGCTCTGCCCCAGCGGCGGCGCTAACTCTGTGGTCTTGGTGTCTCCGGGCCCCGCCGGGCCGCTCTAGGGAGGAGGAGGCGAGAAGATGGCGGACGACCCCAGTGCTGCCGACAGGAACGTGGAGATCTGGAAGATCAAGAAGCTCATCAAGAGCTTGGAGGCGGCCCGCGGGTGAGCGCCGCGTCCGGCCCCCCCGTGCCCTCTTGGTTCCCGGACCCCTCAGGATGGCCGCCCCCGCGCCGCATGGCCGGATGAGGAGAACCAGGCAGTAGTCAACTCCCGCCTTCTGGATCTCTGGGTAGTTGCCCCCGACTCAGGGGCAAGGGTCTGCGCGGTTGGCCGGAGAAGGGGTCCTTCCCCTGCTTCGGGGTAAGGGGCCCCGCTCCCGGGGCTCGGACCACTTGACCCCCTCGTGGAAGGCCATTGCTACTTTTGAATCTCTCCAGGCCCTTGAATCCAGCACCTCCCTCTTCGAGCTCCAGGTGCTGCCACCCTGCTCGGGTGCTGTTGGGGGAAAGGGCTCGGCCTTCGTTTCCGAACGCCCTTCCCTGATTTCCTCTCTTTGATGTTTCTCAGCCAGGTCTCATTAAAATGGCCTCCCCCTCCCGGTCTTCTGAGACCCGGGTCGGTGAAGTTTGGATGGGACACGAAGGAGAGGTGGTCAGGGACAACCTCTTTCTGACTTTCCGTGATATCTCTGGGTCTTCCACCTCTTCCAAGATGACTTCCCCCAAGTCCTCCAATTACCCCGGAGCTTCCTGGTGTTAGCTGTTGAAGTATCCACCTATGAAATGAAAATGCCAACGTGTGCGGGGTGGGGTGGAGAGGAGATTTTGGTGGACGAATCCGCATCTGTATATACAGGAGAACCCGGGTTATGGGGCTGTTGATGTGAACTGTTAACTACGGGGTCCTTTTCGGCCTCTCTTTGGAACTTTCAGGGATGAGGTGCCTGATGTACTAATGCTTGCTGAAATTTAGAACTTAATTAGGTGGGCTTTGCGTCTCCTTTTGTAAATGTTATGGGTGTGCACTATGGGAAGGTTAGATTGAAACTGGCTGTATATGCTTTTTTATTTTTAAGTTAAAAAAGAATTACTCGTTTGGAGAAGGTGTGTCAGAGGTATTCCCATTTTCTTAGTTTATTTATTTTGTTCCTTTCCCAGTTATAGGAACTTTTTGCTTACAGGAAGTGACCCCCCCCTCCTCCCCCAAAAATGCGTTTGGAACATTACATATTTGTATGTCTGAGCATTCTTAGAATAGCAGAGTGCCTTGCTCCAGGCCATGTTGAAAGTTTGTTTTCAACACAGGAATTGGACATTCTGATTTCCAGCCCAGGTTTGTCCTTCATTGGTTGATTTGCAGTGATAGAATTAATCAAGCTTTTAATTGTTACTATATGAAATAAGGTGTGCTTAGTTAACATGGAAGGCCTAGAGTTAGTAGATTGGTTTTGCCGTTGTGTTTTGTTCTTATTAAATTAGTGATAGTTCTGCTTGAAATGAAGCTTCTGAAAGTTTGTCTCTCAGTTCAGTGACTTGGGCTTTTGCTAACTCTTTCCCTAGTACAAACTGAAGGTGGCAGCTTATTTTTTATTTAAGTTTGTTTCTTTTAATTTAATAAAATATTCAGACCTATTTAATAATCTTACAGAAATTTGAACACAGATGGCTTTTTGCCACATGGTAGATTGAATAATTATTCTCCCAAGTGTGAGCATATTATACAGGAGGGGTAGTACAGGTCATCACCCATTAGTATGAGGCACTACCAGGAATTAGATTTGTTTCACTAGGAAATTCTGTTGTGTTACTTTCAGTTGAGTATGGCTTTTATGGATTGTTGTGGCAGTGTTTAAAGTTGGATGTGATCTGTAGATTTGTTCTCTTAACACTTTAGTTTGGGGGCAGTTTCACACATTAGAATCTGCATACATTATATACTCTGAAAAAGTCTAAAATGTGAATTTACAACTATAATTTGCTTATTGTCTGAGCGTAGTAACGTTAAAAATAACTGTGTGTAGTAACAGCATTCCCTTCTAGTGCTTGATGAAGGAAGCTTATTGTCAGATTTGTTCCTAGCCATGTTACCTAGCTACTTGAAACTTTTAAGCTCCCCTTTCAAGCTTTTAGAGGCCTTATCCCTTTGATTAGCAAAGTTCAGTAAAGTTTAAAGCACACTAAAAATGAGGTTCTTACACACAACTTTTCTTCTAAGTGATGGGGTTAGTTCGGACATTTTAGACAAGGATTAAGCTGTCTAAAATAGCTGAGAGTAGTCTTCATTTAAACAAATAATAATGGTTGATAATCATGTCCTGCTTTGCTTTTATTCAGGATTTGGTTGCATCTTGATCCCATGAAAACTTTAAATCTTTGCCATCTCTGGGTATCAGTAAGGAGCCACAACTGTATTCAGTTTGGCTCAGAAATTTCCCAGTTCATACCAATTTCTTTTAGGGAATAGGAAGATTGCATGTTCATGGCTGACTTGTATTAAAGTCAGACTCAGATTATCATAGTGTATGGTGAGAAATATTTTCTTTGCTTAATGCTAAAATATTTTTAAGGAGAAATGTAATGATCATTAAAGACAAACTGGATGACAAAATGAATCTAGGCGTACTGGTGTTTGGGGGTGTAGCCTTTGGGTTTAAGGAGAAAACTGATGTGTTCAAGCATGGTTATTAGCACTAAGTGAAACTTAGTAGTGGATTAATAGAATTGTTTTTGAAATAAAGGTGTTTTTTTGCTTTGTTTTTGGTTTGTTTGGGGGTTTTTTGGTTTTTTGGTTTGTTCGGTTTTGTTTTTTGCCCTCCTAGCAGTGTAGAGTTCTGGGCATGAAATTCAGATTGGTTTGTTTTTAACAATAACTATAAGATATGCTGGGATAAGAGTAATTTATAATTGAGAGTCAGTTTATGATTATCTCTTGATAATATCACCCAAATGTAGCTTAAAAAGGGAACCACTGCAAAATGGGCTCAGTAATTAAGTACATCTGAACAGAGTAAAGTTTCTAAGCACAGTAATTATTGGGTGCTTAGTATATTATAGGCACTGTGTTAAGCAATACACTATTTGATTTAATTCTCACAAGAAGTATTGCCACCTTTTGATAGCTAAGGCACATGAGACTGAGAGGTTAAATAACTTGGTGTCTGAAGTGTAGCACAGCCTAGGACTTGAACCGGTGTGTTACACAGTGCAATGAATGTACTTTATGTTTTCCGAAAATACAAGGCTGGAATGACTCAAATTGTAATCTAAGCGACAACAGACTTATTTTATTTTAAAAATTTTACTTAATTTATTTAGAGAGAGAGAGAGAAGCAAACTCACCACTGAGCATGGAGCCCAACATGAGGCTCGGCTAAGTCTCACAACCCTGAGATCATGACCTGAACTGAAACCAAGAATCAGATGCTCGACCAACTGAGCCACCCAGGTGCCCCTATAACAAACTATCTTAATGTTGTCATGTCTGTGAAAGAGCATTTATAAGAGCCAAAATGGCTAAAATAGGGAACTTGGTGGAGTCTTTTTGTAGCCCACATCACAATTTTCTGAGCTGAAAGAAGTGTTACACATATAACTTAAACTTAAGTTTGTGGAACATACCTATTTAGTTTCATATAAATCTGGTTGAATGTTAGTTTCTTTGTGTGTTAATAAAATAACCTGCCACTTCTTTTGGTATACATAAGTCCCATTTAAAGTTAGTGGAAGTTCTTCCTGGCTTATGATTGTTCTGGTACATTCTCCACCGTTGGCTTAACGAGGACAAATGTGTACATAAACCAGAACTGGAACTAGAGCCATGTGAATGGAACTGTGGTTGTGGGTATTTTGGATAAGGAACTAAAGCAGGTGAATTATTTTACAAGAAAGATGAGTGGGAAATTTTGGTTGTTTTTTTCCTATTAATGTTTTCTGAACCAGCAAGAAGTAGCCCCAGATAGAAGGCTGGAAGATTTACAGTTTTCAAGTAATAAAATCATTGCCAGAGCCTTTTCTAGCCAAAGACAGTGGTAAATGTGACAGACAAGGTTAATTTGGGCTAAGTTGCATTTGCTAGAATGGCCCACAGAACTTAGGGAAACACTTCACTTACATTGACTGTCTTTTTTATAAAGGATACAAATGAAGAGTACACAGGGTGAGGTCCAGAAGCATCTGAGTACAGGAGCTTCTGTTCCTGTGGAACTGGGGCATATTTCCTGGGTTTACCAACCCAGAAGTTCATTAAATCTTGTTCAAGACTTTATAGAAATTAATCTGCAGACTCTCCCTCCTTCCACACCACAAACCTTTCCCAGAGGTCTGTTGGTGGAGCTGCTAGTTCCAACTCTATCAGTTACCTGGTCTTTTTGGTGACCCCAGTGACCCTACCCTAAGTCACTTTATTATCATAAACTCACAGAGATTCCTTATGAATACCAAAACCCTTCCATCACCCAGAAAATTCTAGGGCTTTAGAAGCTTTATCAAAAGCCATGGACAAAGACCAAATACATTTCTTTTTTTTTTTTTTTTTATTTTTTTTTTTAAAGATTTTATTGATTTATTTATTTGACAGAGAGACACAGCGAGAG